ACGGGCTGGGTTCTGCGTGGAACCATAGGGGTATAGAAATTGTCTCCTTTGCTGAGTCAGTTCTTGGGTATGGGTCACAATACCAGTTGAATCAGTTCCTTGGTATGAGCCACTGGTCTGGGTGAGTCAGCTGTTCCACTGGAACACCTCAGGTTCTATTCAAAAACTAGCCTGAGGTTTCACAAGGGTGATGCTATCTATGGGAGCAGTGAAGAAAGCTAAGAATCTTTATGACCATCAGCTACATGACTGCTGAGTAGTAAGCAATTATAGGAAAGCAAGCTAGAGAACAACGGCTGATTGTATACATACATTTCCCCTACCACAGTTCCCACTCTGTGGCCCTTTGTTAATTTTATAAAGGGTGGTTTCACCTGTGAGGTTTCATCTACGTAACAAGACCACCTTTGCTAGCCAGACCTCCTCTTCTCCCTCTCCCATAACCTGTCTTGCCACGACCCTTCTTCTCTCTGTAATCTCAAGATGGTATAGTGTCAACCATCTTCCCTTTGAGATCTCATATTTTGTAAGATTCTCATATGTGTTAATAAATTTGTATGGCTTTTCTTCCATTAATCTGCCTTTTGTCAGTTAATTTTCAGTGCCCCCCCCCAGAGGGTGGAAGGAAGGGTGAACCTTCAGTGAAGCCTCAGGAAGCTCTCCCTTTCTGAGAGGTAGGTACAATTAATCCTGGTTTACAAGCAAAAACACTCCAGCACAGAGAGGTTGAGAAACTTCCCAGGCTCACCTATATACTGCATACAAAGTTCAGGAAATATTGAACTTGAACTCCAGGCATTCTACCACATCTATGATGAGAACTCTAATCACCCAGGCAGAGATGGGTGGGGAAATACTCAGACTGAGGAAGAGGGGCAGCCTGTGGGCCCTGGCGCCTCCTGCCAGAGTGGCTGCGTGGTCCCAGCCTGAGCCTGTGCTGCCCCCTGCTGGCCAGCGCTGCCCTCCCTGCAGACTTCCCCTCCAGTCCAGAGCCCCTCAGGGGAACTAATCCCACCCAGCCAGAAGTCCCCTCTGCCACCAGAGCTGGAGTCTGGGGACTGACAACAAGCAAAGGATGTTCCAGAGGGGGAGGAGAGTCAGGAGATCACACAGGTAATATATGAGGATTTCCCCTTGATCCACATACCCGAAAGCCTGTCTCCTTCACAGGGGCTGGCTGAGTGAAACCACTGGAAGAACCAGATGGGGAAAGTAAACTTTCTTCCCACAAATGCCATTGTGTATACCCTAGACCATCCACCCACACATCCACCCATCCATCCACCCACTCACCCATCTACCCACCCATCCACCATGTATCCACCCATTCATCCATCCAACTAGCCACCATCCATCCTCCTACTCACTCATCCATCCACTCACATAGCCATCCATCCATCCACCCACGTATCTACCCATTCATTCATCCTCCCACCCACTTGCCCACACATCCACCCATCCATCTACCATCCATCCACTTATCCACCCACCCATCCACCTACTCATCCACCCACCCACCCACACATCCACCCACCCATCCACCCACACATCTACCCATTCATCTACTCATCTATCCTTCCATCCACTGTCCCTCTCTCCCTCTCTCTCCTGCTACCTGCTATCCTTACACAGCTATACTGTAGGGAGCTTGATGCCAGTTCATCTATTGCTACAGTCTAGGACTTACAAGATGAAGTCACAAAAACTGATAGGCATATCAGGACAACTCTGATGTCAAAAGAGCACAGGTAGCTCAAAGGGATTCCCACTCTCCAAGTTTGGGCAATTTTAAGTATCATAAAAACAAACAAAAACAGTAATGGATTATAATACATTATTAGAAAAAAATGATGAGTCTACAGAGATAATACAATAGTTTGCCTTTGTTTTTTGATGCCTAACTGCTGACAGCCCTGAAACCCCACACTTCCCTTCCCTTTTTATCCTATGTCTGCATGAGCTACTAAGAGAGCCCAGGTGTGCCAGGCATGCCCTTGGCACTGACAGGAAGTTCACACCATGCAGGTCCCAGACCACATACGGGAACTCCAGTGCTATCCTAACCGCAGTAAAACCCCAAAGCCAGTCACCCCTCCTGCTTTCTCAGGCCATTTTCATACCTACTGGGGAGCCTGCCTTGCTATCCCCAGAAAGCCTCATTATGTCAGTAATAAACATTTTTATACCCTATTGGTATGTTTTTGGCATCAGTCTCAGTAACAGAACCAAATTTTGGGTGGAGGTGTCCAAACTATTTCTATGGAGTGATCACAATAAACAGAAGGGAAAACTATTCTTTATAGAAAAATGTCAATACATATATAAAAACAGAAGGATTGTTAGAATTAGAAACCTCAATTTTGAAACCAACATCATAATAATTGATTTAGGCAAGAAAGGTTGTGGGGAAACATAGAGTTGGGAAGTTCTTAAATACAAAAATGGGAAATGGTACTTTTAAAATGGAGCATATGGCAGACACTACCCTTCCCAAGTGATTAAATTTAACATCACATCACATAATGAGACAAATACAGCTTGTGTCTCGTGATAGGAGGTACCAAGCAGGATACAACATCACTTATTATAGTTTGCCTGAGAAAAATGTTGGACCTCAATTTAATCATAAAAAAATAATCAGACAAGCTCAAGTTGAGAGTCAATCTGAAAAAATAGTTGGACTGGACTCTCCAAAGTGCCAACACTGTGAAAGAAGAAAAAAGGGTTGAGAAAATGTTATAGGTTGAAAGAGACTGCAGACACATGACAATGACATTATTCATATGCCATGACTAATCCTTGATTGAATCCTTGGATTTAAGGGGGGGGGGGAGTAAACGTATAGGACATTATTGAGACAATGGGGGAATTTAGATGTACAGTGTATATTTGATAATATTGTGTAAATGCTAAATTTCAGGACTGTGATCATTGCCATGTGACTATGTATGTGACTGTTCTTTGGAGATACATGTGGAAGTATTATTTAGGGGAAGAGTCATGTGTCTGGAACTTGCACTTAAATGTTTCATTTATAAAAAAGTTTATAGAGAGAGTCAAGGAATAAATGTGACAAAATGATAATTTATGTGTCAAGATAAAGATACAAAACAAAGAGAAACGAAACAGAAAGGTGAACTGATAAGAAGGTTTGTTTATTCAGAAAAAAGGGTCCCAGAGGCCCAGAGGGAAGGTCTGGGAGAAGGACCGTGTCACCTCCCAAACCATCCTGCTTGTTCACCAGGCTTCCTCGACAGCCAGCATTGTCAGGGATCAGAACAGGGCTTTGCTCAATAAGTACTTGTGGAAGGTTCTAGAATTTGCATCCTCTGCACCCTGGGAAGACAGTCTGTGGAGCCCACAGCAGCACTTCCGTGGGATGCAGATTGGTGCCAGGTCACCCCCACTCTGCTGGTTTCCCTCCACCTCACTCATCATTTCTCCTTAGTCCTCTTTTGTCTAAATGGTAGAGTCTCCCAGGGATTCTGCCCAGGGCCTTCTCCATCCTACCGCCTTCCTGCCTCTGGTGAGCTCCTTTTCTCCTACGGAGTGTCCTCTCCCCGCACCCCAGATTCACAGGTCCACCTGCAACTAGACACCCACACCTGGATGAATGGTAGCCATCTCAAATTTAACACATCACAAGACAACTCTCTGGTTTACCCCCAAACCCAGTTGTCTCCAGTCTCCCCCATCTCAGTAACAATCCCACCACCCACCCAGCTGCTTCTCCCTTCCCCGCATTCCCCATATCCGCTCATTCCCCATTTCCTCTGCAAAACAACAACCTGGATCTGTCCACTTGTCACCAACCCCATGGCTGCCACCACCACCGCCTAGCTGGGTTCCTTCAGTAGCTTCCTAACCCATCTCTTGCCTCCACTCCTGGCCCCTCTGATCCATCCTCCTCAAAGACACCAGAGTGATCTTTTTAAAATGTAAACCAGAGCAAGTCACCCTCCTGCTCGAACCCCTTCAATGTTCTCCATTGGTCTTAGAATAAAAACGCAGCCCACCACCGTGGAGACCCTACTCCGTCTGCCTGTTCCACTCACTCAGCCTCATCTCCTGTCCAGATAGGAGTGGCTCCTGCATGACTCAGGCCTCTCTCTTTCTGAAATGTCTTCTCAGACATTCCCAGGTCTATCTCTTTATCATCTGGGACTCAGTTCTAATGTCATCTTCTCAAATCGCTCTAAAGAAACCTGCCCTTCCCATTACATTTTAGACATTGTCCTCTTTTCTTGGTCATTCCTTGTTTTCCCTTTTCCCCACCCACTAGAACAGAAGCACCACGTGAGAAGAGTTCCCACTGGATCTCCAGCGCCTGCTAAAATATGCTCATACATATTTGTTGAAAGAATTAAACAACAGATGGCAATTTTATAAGTTTTTAAATATCCTTCCTTGGCAAAATAAAAAGCTGCCAATTCTGTGTGGCCCCCTTTTTAAAAAACATTTTGTAAGTCCTGGGCTGTTGCAATAGATTAACTGCCTCAAGCTCCCTACACCATAGGTGGGTAAGGATGGCAGGAGAGGGAGGGAGAGAGGGACAGTGGATGGGTGGATGGATGAGTGGATGAATGGGTAGATGTGTGGGTGGATGAAGGATGGGTGGGTGGATGTGTAGGTGGGTGGCTGGATGTGTGGATGGATGGATGATGGTGTAGATGGGGGCATGCTCTGGGAAAGCAAACCCAGGGTGCTATGTAAGTTGAGCCACAGCAGGTGACCAGAGTTGGCTTCCCTGGGTCACCAAGGGGATACTTGGGGCGGATGGGCAACGACAGTCGGTCCTGGCTTAGAGCAGCGATACCCCAGTCCCCGCCCCAACACCCCCCCCCCCAGCCAACTCCCGCCAGACCCCGAACAGCGCACAGGGCCGCCCCCTGCCGGCCGGCTCAGGTGCGCGCTCCCCGGGTTGGCCGCGGTGCCAGTGCGCGTGCGCACAGGTGAGCTGCCCGCCCCGCCCCGCCCCGCCCCGCCCCCGGGCTCGGCCACCTGCCTGGGAAACTTGTGGTTGGTTGCTGCCCTCCGGTCCTCCGGGCCGGACACGGAACCGGGCCATGGAAGGCATGTCGGGGACTCGCGAGCCCCGGGCCCGGCCTAGGGAGCCGGACCCCGACCGGCGCAGCCACGCAGACCGAGACCGCCACCCCGAGCGACCGCGGGACAGACCCCGGGACCCGCACAGGGAGAGAACCAGGGACGGGCGGAGGGACGGCAACCGGCGAGAGGACCGGGACAGAGAGAGGGACCGGGAACCCCGCCAGGACAGACGCAGGGACGGGGGCCACCGCGCAGGTGAACAAAGAGTTTGGGACGAGTCCCGCCAAAGCCGGACGCGGGACGCACCCCGGGGCCGGACCTGGGACGCAGCCCCGCACCCCTGGCCCGCGCCGGGGGCAACTCCGGAGCCGCCGCCCCTGTGGAAGGAGGGCCTCGGGCGCCGCGGACCGGAAAGGTGAGGCGGGCTGGGGGCGCGGGGGCCTGGGCGGACGGCCAGCCTGCGCTGCTTGTCCTAGGACGCCGGTATAAAGAAAGAGATGCCATTCCCCCTGCGCGCTCTCAGAGGTGACCTGGCCGGGAGGGAAAACTTAGCGGTGACCCCAACCACCCGATCAACAAAGCAGGACCCAGCCCTCTTAGCAGTGGCAGGGCGGGGGCAGTGAAGAGGAAGACTGGTCTCGGTCCGGGAAAGAGAGGGCGGGGGCAGGAGGTTAGGTAGGTGCAGGTAACCCCAGGCTCCTCCCTGACGCTCCCCGCCTGGTCACAGGACTGCCCCTTGGGGCCTTAGACCTTGCCCTGTGTTCCAAAATCAGCCCTCCGCCACTTCAGAGTCCTCTTCCCTGGTAGCCAGGGCCTATAAAGTCAGCCCAATAAAGACTTAATAGTCGGACGAGTCGCCCTCCCCGGGGGTGCATGCATTTCCCACGCAGACAGGTGGCGGAAATGACACTTTCAGCCACGGAACTAAGTCCACCTAAGATGCCCCACGGAAGGGCGCGGACTGGTTTCCCCTTTGCCAGTGAGGTCTTTCTAGCCTCACTCAAATCCCGTGATCGTTTGAGACCCCACCGTCCTGAATGAACAAACTTTGCCACCCCTGCCTTGTAGAGCACAAAGAATTCCCATAAGCCCTTGGGAGGAGAAAGCATCAAATAATCCGGAAGACTTTGTGAGCTGGGGGTGGAAGGGGAGATAGGAGGGGGCCTGACTCACACACCCTGGGGAGCTGGTCTTTTTTCCCTCTGCTGAATGCACAAATGACATGCAGAGCACTGCGACTAGGTGGGATATTGCCCCTTCTGGCTCCAACAAGGAGACACACAGGCCCTGGGGTGATGACTGCTTCTGGGTTTTGAAACCTGGCTCTTTTCTGAGGAGGAGTCAGGCTCCCCTCTGCTATGGGACCTGGTGGCTGAGCCCAGTCTCTCTCCCTGTTGAGTCCACACAGCGGGAAAGCTACTATCCTGAGTTTACGTTACATTATCTAAAACCAACTAGCAGGACAAAGGGTGTGCAAGGGTGTTCCAAGCAGAGGACTAACTCTGGTGTTCCAAGCAGAGGACTAACTTCCGCAGTGACTCTAAGGCATGAGCAGGTCATCTTTTAGGGGAAAAGGGACAGTTCACTATGGCTGGGTCTGTGAGGTGGTGAGTGCAGAGAGATGAGAAAGGGCTTCCAGTGCGTGCTAAAAATTTTAAGAATGTCAATCCTAAGAGACATGAAGTTCTTGAAAGCTCTCTGGAAGCCCAGCCAGTAGAATGCAGCTCTCTGCTGAATCTTGGACAAAGCCCAGGATGTGCTGCATAAAGGTGAGAAAGAAGGAACAGAAAATGCCGGGGTTGTCAGAGGAAGAAATGATAGGAAAATGCCAGAAGCTGCCTGTAGCACCCTCAACGCCTGGAGAATTATTGCTGACTGAGCACTTGCCAAAGGAAGGGCAGGAAGAGAATGCCAGCCTGGGCATCCGAGTCGTGTGCATGCCAAGTGTTTTGGAAGAGCCTGGTCCATGCTGAACTGGCAACTTAGGCTCACAAGGAAGGCAGCCCACAGCTGCCTGGCTAGGACAGACCAACGGTCAAAGGCGGCGCCCCTGTGGACTGGATTACAGGATCCGTCACGTGGTTAGTTAGCGGAGTTAGGCCGAGTGTTAGCATGTCCTGTGGAGTCACTAAAACCAGAGAATTCTCTGGAGTATGCAGTACTGTGGCGAATTTTGTTTCTGTTCTGAGTGTTCCCTAATGTTTAGGCGCAGCATGAGGAGTAGGGAGTTCTGATACTGAACAAGCTATTGGGTTGGAGGCCCCCTAATGGCCATATATGCTTTCTGGTTATAGTGAACCCACTTCAGGGAGGTATCTGTCCTGGAACCCCAGGCCTGGACGAGAAGAAGAAGTGGAATATTACCAGTCAGAGGCGGAAGGACTCCTGGAATGCCATAAATGCAAATACTTGTGCACGGGGAGAGGTGAGCCATTTTAGAGGCAGTTTGACTGACATTTGCTGTTGCTGGTGGTTCTAGGATGGGTGGTCTGAGCTGGAATCCCTTTTGGGTTCCTAGCATTTTGGGTTTCTTACCTGCATGATGCTCTTGTTTCCTAAAATCAAGAAAGGCAGGAACGTCTTGTGCTTCTCCTCAAACATGGCCCCGGGACCTGGAGAGGCACGCAACCTCGTGCTCACATTTCAGGTTCCGGGTGGAACCACGGAGCCTGCAGGTGTGTGTGGCCGGGAGCTATCCGAGGGCGCTCCTCTGGCAAGGTGGCCTGAGTCTGCAGAAAGGCAAGATCGCCTGGAGCAGCAGGCAGGTTGCAGCTCTGGACAGGTGCAAACCTGCTGCCCACTCTGTCAATGGCTTTTAAACTTTATTGACTGAGATTCATAGTAAGAAATATGTTTTGCATTAAGACCAACTTGATACACACACACAGAAAACCAAAAATGAAACTAGTAATCTTAGCACTCTGAGAGGCCGAGGCAGGAGGATCGCTCAAGGTCAGGAGTTTGAAACCAGCCTGAGCAAGAGCGAGACCCCTGTCTCTACTAAAAACAGAAAGAAATTTATTGGCCAACTAAAAATATATATAGAAAAAATGAGCCGGGCATGGTGGCACATGCCTGTAGTCCCAGCTGCTTGGGAGGCTGAGGCAGCAGGATCGCTTGAGCCCAGGACTTTGAGGTTGCTGTGAGGTAAACTGACGCCACAGTACTCTAGCCCAGGCAACAGAGTGAGACTCTGTCTCAAAAAAAAAAAAAAAAAAAAAAGAAGAAGAAACTATACTTAGCCTATGACATACCAAATGCTCTGTTATTTTCTATTCTGTTTCATTAAAAAAAAAATACTCATTCAGGACCTGCAGTCCGAAAAATACTTAGATATCATCATGTGTGCACTTCAAATGTGGCTTTCCAGGCTCTTTTCTGTGCAGCAATGAAGAAAATCTGGTTTGTCAGGGTGAGCCTTTACAGCTCACATGATTTAGTGAGAAATTTTCTTCAGCTCCGTGTGACTAAGGTAGAAAACATCCCAGCCTCAGGGAGAGAAATCGCAGCGTTCATAACTGCGGATGTCTCTTAGGATGATTACAAAGATGTACATGATTATGGGATTATAGGAAACTTGATGGAAGGGCTCTAGGCAATCTAGGAACAAGGATCATCACTCTAGATTACATACGTTGGCACAACCTCATTGCCTTTAATACTCTCGACAACTCCTGAGGCTCAGAGAAGTGCAGTCAGTTACTCAAAGTCACACAGCTGCTAAGTGAAAGAGCCAGGATTGAAGCCTCAAATGGTTTACTCGAGACCGTCCTTCCTTTCTTGATGATATAAATAATAAGAATAAGCCAGAGGCTACTTGACACATTTCTCCAGAGAGATACATTTTTTTTTTTTCTTCTGTGGCTGGTTTACCTTGAGGAGAGGGCAGGGCTTGAGGCTTCCGTCCAAAACACACCTTGATTTAGCCTGTTTGGCTTTGAGCCTGGAGGTTGGGTTTCAAAGCTACGGTAGTGAAAGGCTGGTTCAGCAGTGGGAAGCTCACAAACTAGGGTTTATAAAGAACCCTGGATGTGCAGGGACCCGTATAAATACACAGTGCAGTATTGTGTTGAGAGAAACAGGCATTAACACCAGGAACTTGTCTCAAGCAGGAAATACATGCCCAGATAAAGGTCACCCGAAGATTTTTTTTTTTTTTTTTTTTTTTTTTTTTTTTAGAGACAGAGTCTTGCTGTGTCGCTCTGGCTACAGTGCGGTGGCATCAGCCCAGCTCACAGCAACCTCAAACTCCTGGGCCCAAGCAATCCTCCTGCCTCAGCCTCCCAAGTAGCTGGGACTACAGGCATGCACCACCGTGCCCGGCTATTTTTTCTATTTTTAGTAGAGATGGGGTCTTGCAGTGGCTCACACCTGTAATCCCAGCACTTTGGGAGGCTGAGGTGGGAGGATCACAACCTGGGTAACATAGTGAGACACTGACTCTATAAAAAGTAAAAAAATTAGGAGGGCATGGTGGCGCGCATCTATAGTCCCAGCTACTCAGGAGGCCGAGCAGGAAGATCACTTGAGCCCAGGAGTTTGGGGTTGCAATGAGCTATGATCGTGCAAGTGCCCTCCAGACAGTGAGACTATCTCTTTAAAAAGAAAAAAAAGGGCTGGGCGCAGTGGCTCACACCGGTAATCCTAGCACTCTGGGAGGCCGAGGGGGGCAGATTGCTCCAAGTCAGGAGTTCAAAACCAGCCTGAGCAAGAGCGAGACCCCATCTCTACTGTAAATAGAAAGAAATCAATTGGCCAACTAAAAAATATACACAAAAAGTTAGCTGGGCATGGTGGTGCATGCCTATCGTCCCAGCTACTCGGGAGGCTGAGGCAGGAGGATCACTTAAGCCCAGGAGTTTGAGGTTGCTGTGAGCTAGGCTGATGCCAGGGCACTCACTCTAGCCTGGGCAACAAAGCGAGACTCTGTCTCAAAAAAAGTAAAAAATAAAATAAAAAGAAAGAAAAATTCTCCCATATAGCAAAACATTGGAAAAGCCTAAATGTCCTTCATAGTGGAATGACTTAAATTAATTGTGGTAATCTATAAATCCTTTAAACCTGTGAAGTAGACATATATTTACTGAGATAGAAAAGTATTTATATTTACTGAGTTAGAGAAATATTTACACTATATTCATAGTGAAAGAATAAGTTACACAATAGTAGATGGAGTAGGAGGACCCTGTTCTTACCTAAAAGCAAACAAACAACAAAAATTACAAATATATGGTAGAAAAGTTCAGAAAAAAAATACATAATGTTCACAGTGGTTTTTTTAACTGGTTGGATTATAGACCATATTTACACTATATTTTTTTGTCTACATTTTCTTTTTAAACAATAAGTGAGTGTAACTTTTGTAAGTAAAGAAAACAATAACACTGTTTGCATTTGGAGAGAAAATTATAGAGTGTAAAAATAATGCTTGAGAGAGCATCCTTTCAATTAGAGACTGTGTCAGACACAAAAGGTACCTACACATAACTGTGGGATTCCATTTGCATGACATCCTAGAAAACGCAAGACTAATTTCTAATGAGAGGAAGCAGACCAGGGGTAGGCTGAGAAGGAAGGTGAGGAACTGACTACAAAGCATTACCAGGGAAGTTTCTGGGCTAACGACGCATGTTCTATGTCTAGATGACGGTTGCATGGTGTATACATTTGTCGAAGCTCATCAGGCTGTATGCTTAACGTGGGTCATTTTGTTGTGTCTAAGTTATATTTAAATAAACATAAATTGAAAGCAGCTAGTTTTCCTGTCCATGATAAAGAAGCAAAAGGTCCCAAAAGAACCCAGCTCTGGCAAAATATCACAGCCCAGATATACTCCTTAGGGAAACCAAAGAAAACGACATTAAACTTTATGACATATTTATGGAGTTAAAGTCCAAAAACGGTAAGACAAATAAGTTTTTTTTTTAAACTCGGTAAGCGTTATGGCTTTACTTAATTTTTCCTCTTTCTAAAATATGCAAACCACCATTAACCTTTTGATGTGTAAACTTCCACACTTTTTTCTAACATATTTTTTAAGCTCTATGATTTTCTTCAAACTTGGAGAACCCTCCTCTTACAAATTGGAATAGCCACAAAACATATATAAAGAGGTGGTGACTTTTTTTAGTCTTTTTGGTGGTGAGAGGCAGGGGGTGGGATGTTCTTGCCCTTCCGTATAGGATGCCTTTCTTTCTGCTCACTGGCTTGGTTTCTCCTACCCTCTGCCTGCAGGTCTCCTTTGCCTGCAGGCTGCTTTGCTTTTTCGATAGTGACTCCTCTCAGCCCGTGGTATTTCTAGCACCATTTCTGGAGCCCACAGTCCCCTGCTACCGTCTAATGCTACCACGCTGCAGTGGCTGCTCAGGCCGTGCATGGGGGGGCAGAGCCGGCAGGATGAGCCACTTCGGGGAAGGTGGCCCTCGAGGTGGAAGAGTCTCCGAGTACAAAAGAGCACCTCTCAACACGGTAACACGCCCTTTTTTTGCAGCCTGCTGCCAAATGCTGGAGGTTCTCCTGAACTTGCTGATCCTGGGCTGCAGCGCTGTGTCTTACAATTCCACGGGGGGCTACACGGGCATCACCAGCCTGGGGGGCATTTACTACTACCAGTTCGGAGGGGCGTACAGTGGTTTCGATGGTCTGGACGGGGAGAAAGCCCAGCGGCTGGATGTCCAGTTCTACCAGCTAAAGCTGCCCACGGTCACCGCGGCCATGGCCTACAGCGGAGCCCTCATGGCCTTTTCCTGCCTCCTCGTCGTCACAGGTGTCCTGCGCGTCCCGTGGCATTGTCCGCCATGGCTGGTGATCGAAGGCTTGTTGGACGTGCTCATCGCTGGGGGGTACATCCCCGCCTTGTACTTCTACTTCCACTACCTGTCCGAGGCCTACAGCTCCCCTGTGTGCAAGGAGAGGGAGGCGCTGTACCAGAGCAAAGGCTACAGTGGCTTCAGCTGCAGCTTCCACGGGGGAGACATAGGAGCTGGCATCTTTGCTGCCCTGGGCATTGGGGTCTTCGCCCTGGGGGCCGTCCTGGCCATCAGGGGTTACCGAAAAATCAGGAAGCTAAAGGAGAAGCCAGCAGAAATGTTTGAGTTTTAGGCTTTTTCAAACGTTCTGCCAAATGGGATGGAAGTTACTCCGGAACCGCTGTCTTTCCCAAGAATGCTTTTGGGGGGAACTTGCCAACCCTGGAGAAGTCACAAGCCAATGCTGGCGGGGCGGGGCGGCTCCCAGCTGCGTGGAGTTGCCTTCTCCGTTAGAATCCTCTGTTAGTGGGGGACTAGCCGAAGTTATTTAAAAACAACAACAACAACAACAACAAAAATGTGGAGCCCGAGACCCACAGGGAAAAGGCACAAGCTGCAGCAAAGTGCACTTCTTGATTAAATAAAAGGAGATAACCAAGTGAATTGGAAGAATCTT